TTAAATTTTATATGAGTATGCTGTATGTTAATGTATGTAAAATGTGGTGTATTTTACCATTGTGTACTAACGACTATGTAAACATGTTTATATATTATGTATTACTGAGAATAAAATATTTCTATTTCTCATCACATCAATTTGAAAACTCTTTCAGGTATGGGGCAACACATAGAAAAATAAAAAGAGAAGGTTTGAATAAATGGCGGGACTTGTTTCCTTGTTGGTAGTTGAACCGTAAGCGCTTAGCGCGCTGCTATCACTAAATTCAAACCCGTTTTACACCCATAAAAAAATATGTTTTCAAAAATAATGACAAAGAAATCAATAATTTTACTGATTTACCCCTTTAAATTTCACTTTAATATAATATGTGATCAAATACAGGGATTATCGTTAATAAATTTAAAGTTAAAGCTAAATTTAAATATTATTAGATGGTGTAAATCTGGCTTTGAAAATAAATTAGGTTATGTTGCTATAAATATGTCAGCCTGATATTATTTTCATTTTCAAATGCAGGTGAGTAAATTGTATTAATTAAGTGTAAGTTAGATTTAACTAATTTAACTATAGGGAGGTTCTTAAGAAAATCATTAACTCCTGATTCATTTAAATTTTAATTGCAGAAGTATTTTTCTCACAAAACTAACAAGAAATTTTATGTTTTTCCTGCTATTATTACTCTTAGAGATAAATGGATCCACATTTTAAACATTTGTGGTCAAAAAAATGAAAGGAGTTGTGAGCGAAATGTGTAAAGCCAATTTACAAACAAATATTGTGGAACCCCAGATAGAACCTCATCCTAGTTTTACTCATAAAGACCATGTTGAAAAAAGGCGAATGATTTGTGCTTAAAAAATTATTGTTCAATTTTTGGGTGATATTCATTATTATATTTATCAAATAATACCCAAATACGTTCAAAAACTTATATGCTTTAGGTCAACATGTTAATTTTTGCATAGTTCACCCATTAAGATCATAAGTCAGATGTTTTCTATTTTTATTTAAATTTTTATACCTTTTATTGCAAGAAAAATGTAAAAATTTAAAAAGTTATGACTCCTGTTAATTTTTAATTTTAAGATACACACTGCACCTGTAACAACCGGTTTATCCTAAACTTAACTTGTCCAGAAAATAAAAAAAAAATTCTAAAAATCACCCTTCAATTTTTTGTTTTTTTTTTCTTTCTCCTCCCTTTTCTTCCAGTAAAATATTAAAGGACCACCGCTCGTCACCAAATGTAACAACCAGTTAAATCCTAAAGACCAACGCTCGTCACCAAATGTAACAACCAGTTATGTCTAAAGGACCATTTGTAACTACTGATAGGTCTTTAGCTACTGTTACTATACTATTAAGGGATAAAGGCAGCGCTTGTCACCAGCCAAAGGGTCCTGGAGTCCTGAAGGAACATCCATTCGCCAGTGGCAAAAAAAAATAAAGAAAAAATAATAAAATACAAAAAAAACATCCCTTAATAGCATATGTCGAGCGGTTCTTGGCAACTAGTTTTAGACTCTTTTAGTCCTAAGGGAATAGAAACGCCGAGGCTTCTCAAATGCTCGGAGTATTTTGCTGGTTTGGGAAAGGAGGAGAGATTAATAATAAGTATTAAAACATTAACAAATGTATATTAACAATAAATAAAAAACTTGACAAATAGTCTTCAGAAAAAATGAATAAAATTCCATTTAGAGAATAATGCACTATAACTAATAGTAATAAAGATAAGCATAAAATATAATTCGGGACGAAAATGTAAAATTGGCATTTACATGTAAATCAATTAATCAATTATTATTAAACAAAATTAAGTTAAAATATTTACCCATAATTCACATCGTACACAAAAAACTTTACACATTACTTTACAATAAAAAACCAGGGTTTCGCCCAAGGGGCGCCCAAGGGGCGAAAGCTCTGGACCTTAGTCCGAACCCGACTGAGCGTTTCCCCCAAGTGATCCTTTCTATATAAACCAAAATTTATGTGACTGTTGATTGTATTTTACAATGTCACGTTCAATGTAAATTAATAAAATGAAGGTTTGTTTCATTGTCATAAGTGTCTTTTTAATTATTTAAGTTAAACATTAAATACTTGTTTAGAATTTTTGGTAAATTCTTTAGATTTTTTCAATTAATAATAATGCCAATTATTACACACCTTTATTTTTTTTTTTTTTTTGTTTTAGATATTCCTCGGTATGGAGATTTTTGGAATGTACATAAATGTGTTTCTTAATTAGGGCGAGTTTCAAAGCCCACCTGTATTGAAGCTGGAGGCTTATTGTACCCGAAATAAGCATTACAACTATTCTAGATTGAAATAAGATGGGAAAAGGCCTTAAAGGGACAATAAGTATAAGAATATTAGAATTACAATGATTTGTCCTTGGATTAATAAGGGATATTTAAAACATTAAAACAATTGACTTTTTATAAAAACTATATCTGGTTTTTTTAATAATAAAAACATTGTCATGTGCTATGCTGGTTATCATATTATATTTTTCAGTAATTTAGTGTGTGATATAGTGCTTGTTATGTTCAAAATATGCAGTTAGAAGATAATGACACACATGTAATTACATAGTAATTCTAAATAAATTAAACTTGTTAAAAATGTGTTTTATTTTTCAACTAATTTTATTTTTCAGTTAAAACAAGTGATATTTTCCATTTTTCAACATTTACCCACAACAAAAATTCACTAAACTTATTGTTTGTTTAGTAGTTGTAAGTAAAAGTTGTCAAATAGGAAAATGTTACTTTAAATTGCTTCAAATATCTAAATTATCAAGCCCGCCAATTTTTAAATCGCTTTAATTAGTAGTGTTCTACTTTATCGACTGAAACTGACAGGTGTAGTTCAACCGTAAGCGCTTAGCGCGCTACTGTCGAGGTCAAGCAAACTTGTTACCAACTATTTACATGGAATCCGACCCCCGTGGGGCAACATGTATTTGTAATGTTAATAACCATTTGTAATCTTCTAATCGATGGTCCTTGTAATGTGCAGGTCCACACCACTCTGCACTGACATCTAGAATTTAAATATGAGACATGTCACCTTACCAAATCTCCAACATATGCTTTCATGTGCTAATGTAAAATAGAGGTGTGTTATTGTTCTTAATAATAATAATTATAAAATTAAAACTAACTTAAATTATTAATTATAAAAACAAAAATATCTAAGAAAATAGGAAAATACATGACAATAACAAACCACTACTTAATTTAGCACACTAAAATGAGAGATTTTGCAAGGTGGTATGTGTCAAATTCAAGATGTTGCAGAGTGATGTGAACATGCACATTAAAAGGACCCTCAAATACAAGATTATCTAAGCATTGACTAATTGAAAAATAACATGTATTATTATATTTACATATTTTAATGGTGTTTTCTTTCTAAAGTTTCCTAAATGCAGAAAACATTCAGGAAAATAGATATTTTAGTGGTATCATGTTTTGATATTTTCCTAGAGTTAAACACCAATAAATAACAGGATTAGCAGTGTCTAATTTGATTCTGTGCAAACAAAAAGTTTACAATGTGGGAATTGTTGTCATCAAAGACCTGAGTCTCTAAAATTAAGTATATTATTGATGACATAATAAAGAGGAGTTGTAAAATGCCCAAGCATTTAAATTTATTATTTTAAAATACAATAAATAGCCAAGTAGAATGAACAGTCATAGCATATGAAATAATTTATTATTGGAAGTATCAAACACACTAAGTATCAAATTCATAAATATAAAATAATTAAGGAAACAACGAGGGAAACAATTTTATTAGGTGTATTTTGTTTTACCTATTGTGTGCTTATTTTAATTCCCATAAGCGAGACATTATATGGCAGTTAGAACCTTTGTGAAGATATTGACGATGGTATTTACAAGTATATACCCGAAAAAATTTAGATTTTGGCACTTAGTACTTCTACTTACTCTTCAATGTGATAAATATATTTCATTGGTAGTTATTATATTTCTTGGGTAGGTGTAATAATACGTTGTAAACAAACTCACTTACTTTTTGGACAAATAGGGCAAGGGTACCTCATCTTTCGCTTCTTAGAAACATGTTGAGCAGAACCCTTTAAGGGTTTGCATGCCCTTTCAGATTGTTTACTGCAATAAGACGGATCCAAAAAGCTTGGATGATCAGTACTTTCATCTTTCAAAATAGGTAAATCACAATATGTAGCCAATGCAAAAAGTTTACTCTCAGTTTTAGGTTGCACAAATTCACAAGTTTCTTTCTTGATATCACTGACGTCTATGTGTAAATCAATCTCTTTAACCTCGGGAACATAACATTCTTCTTTAATATCGTCAATGTTTTTCAGCAAATACGAATGATGTTCAATTTCAGAGTCTTCATGTTTGATGATTTCTTGTTTTATTTCATCAATATGTTGATCGAAAAATTCTTGTTTTACGTCCATCGTTTTAACAGAATACCCTTGTTCACCTATGGAACACTCTTTTATTTATCTACGGAACAGCCCAGCATGTCCTAAAGTTTAATAAGACAATGAAAAGTGATGAAAATTGAATGAAAACAAAGAGTTTTCTGTGAAAATAAACACAGACGGACTCAGTGACACTAGTGACAGTGACACACACGTCAGTCAACATTTTTAAAAAACACGGAACACGATATTTGCTGCGTTTGAATATCCACATCCGATCAGTGTTGTTCCTAGAAATTTTTAAATTAGGTAGGGTATAGGAGGAGGCGATAATAGTCCGACGGTGATCCCTATCGTGCGCATGCGTATCTTGCAATGATGCCGGATCTCTTTGCCTCATAAGTCATGTATCACAGTGCTGTATTCTGTCAAAGAAAAGAATTAGAATGTTTTCTCGTGTTCGTTTACTTATAGAGAGAAGTAAAACTATTTTTTCGTTTACATTTGTGCCCATTTAGAGCCATTTATACCGTGTTTATTCTTGTTGGTGATTTTTATTAAAATGAGTGTTATCTGCAAATATTGTAATAAACTTTTTACGCTTCAGAGCAATTTGAATAGGCACTTGAAAAATGTTCATAACCGAACAGAGACTAACATTATTTGTTATGAATATAATATACATTCAAATAAATGTTTAGAAGGATGCCATGCATCATTTATAAATATTATGCAGTTAAGACAGCATTTTACACAGGCACACAAAATAGATTTTGAGGAAAAAACTTTGAACTTCGGCAATATAGAAGGTGTGTATATTGTTTTTTTTATCTTATTTTCTTTTGTTAATTCATATATTTTGTTTTTAGAATTCGAAAATTGGCTTTTGGAATTAACTAAAATTAATAATGTGCGATATGTCAAACAAAAGACAAAAAAACTGATGCAGTGGATATTACTTATTCCTTTGAATAAGTAACAAAGATAGGGGTGTACTTAGCAAAAGGATTGGTGCCATTTAGAATGTAATTCATGAAAAACTTAAGTGGACATGTGGTGGGGGTTACAGTATGTCTATTTTATGTATTAACATAAATTATTGTATTTGCTGTCTCTTTTTAATAATTCTAACGAAACTTATAATAAGTAAAAAGTTCAAATATGACTTGATTCCCGCCTGATTCTTACAAGCTTGAAAAATAGACAACCCTGTAAAATGAATCGCACATGCGCCTGATAGAGATCACCGTCGGACATTTATCGCTTCCAGGGGCCCAATTCCTGACGCCTTCGTTAACTTATCGCATGCGATAACGTATGCGACTTGATGAAAGTGTATTCCTGAACTGGCAGCATTCGTCAAATTTATTAACGTATGCGCTAAGAAATGATGATTTTCAAAGAGCGCTCATGACCGTTCGACAACTACTTTGTCGCATTCGTTTAGGTGAAAGTAAGGTTATAATTGTCAATTAATCCTGCTTTATCATATGTGATTCGTGTTTCTGGTTTCTATCTATTGGTTTTGTTTTGTGATTTATTATTGGGAAATATTTATTTTTAATTTGACTCTATTGAACATTTTATTAGAATATAAATTATGAAACTTTTTTGTACCGTGAACTCTTTTATTGGACGTTTAGGTGCCACTTTATTTTGATTTATTTTATTTAGTATGGATGATATAGAAGAAATATGAGTTTTACAGGCACTAAACAATGTTATAAATTCTACTAAAGTTTCACGCAATTTTTCCGTTATTCGTGAACCACGCTGTTCCATTTTTAATATTCTAAATCTAAACCACTCCAATTCTTAAGTCCAAAATACAAATAATCACAGTTAAAACGTCTAAAAACCAAAAATTATTAGACATCCAATCCATTTAATTTTATAATTTTTGGCAATTTTGACATGTGTCAATGCAATTATCTCATATTCAGTGATACCATCTTTGGTATTCTCAATCCTCATTGGTTAAGACTATGCAATAATCAAAGACTCTTCGTTAACACGTTCGACTTGATTCGCGATTATCGCATGGTGTTCAGGAATACTAAATTGCTGTCGTATGCGTTAACGACCATGCGTTACTTAGCGCATGCGGCAGTTAACGCATGTTTCGAGAATTAGGCCCCTGGGTATAGGGACCGTGCGTCATGATTTTAACGCTAACTGGTGACAAAAATGTGAACTTTTTGGGGGCTATTTATTAATGTTTTATACGGATACGGCATTTATTGTTTAATAATTATTAATAAAATGAAGTCGAATTATTTTCGTAATATCAATATCGAAAAAACTTGTTGCATCCGTGGATGTACAAACACATCACTTTAGAAACCTGGATTTCATTCGATAGTAAAGAAATTTTATAAATTTCCACAGAGCACAATTATGCCTCACACCCAATGATATACATAATTACAAAGATTGCTTATCCATATGTAAATCAGACGACGAAAAGCGTATTTCACTGGGCAAAGTTTTCTTTTTATCTAGCTTGTATCAATTTTGAGCACATAGTTGTAAAGAAATCATTTACAGAAAAATTAGAATCTTTAGTGTTTTCTTGTCATTAAGATTTTTACATATTTAAATGACCATTTTATATAAATATAATTTTACAGATAATGGTTTATTCTGTTGATTAAAACTAATGTAGAATGTTATGAAATAAGAATATCCAATTTCACAAAAATATCACGGCCCTCTTTACAATTTATTAACTATTTCTCATTTATTATTAAAATAAACAAATCATAAATAATACATTGCAATTACTGTCAAAAGAGATTGTAACAAACTTTAAAATATTAAAAATCCAGTGATTTTTTGTAAATTTTTTTAGTGACATTACCATTAAACATTATTCAGTATAATAGATAAGTGTCCAATTACAACTCTTACCAAAGTTGTTCATACCTCATATCAAAATTGTTTACATTACCTTTTCAAAATTGTATTACATATTGCAATTATGTATTTTATGTAGAATTGTTTCTGAAATAGTAGTCTAAAATTATTTATATAAAAATTGTTTAGATCTCTTAATATTATTTAACTACATGAAAACTCAACTTTCCAAATACATAATGACATGTCTTGAAGTAAAACTTTAATTATTATCTTTTTCTAGAGATTAAAATGCTGAAATTTTATTTTAACACATTTGGGCTAGAACGGCTCTATTTAGTGAGCACTAGGAAAGGCACATTGCAACCAGCTTTTCATAATTTTTTTATAGTTGGGTGAGCAATCTATAATATATGTATCATTGAACATCTCATAAACGCCAGTGGATGAATGACATTTCGATTAACATAAAGCTAAAAAGATTTATAATTATTATTATCAATCTTTTTTATTAATTTACATTTTTAAATGTTATTGTAATACTTTTAAATTCAGTGTTACTAAATACCTATATTTTAACATTGGATACACTTGTTTAAGGTACAACTTTACAATTTATTGTCACTAATGGTCGATTCCACCGTTGTGTTAAACGCAGATTAAAATGACATTGTTAATGTAAAAATGTCATTTTAAGCTTCGTTTAACACAACGGTGGAATCGGTCCTTAGCCATTTAAATCTTTTTGCTTAAAATGTATATGCATGTCCAGATTTTAATAATGTTTCACATTTTACGTCATTTTGACCATGTACACGATTGTTTGGTACGGGCCGGTATCTATTTTTAACTATATTTAATATTTAAAAAAATACCCTTCATTATTATTTACTTGCAATGTTTACCCCATTTAATTCTAAAATTAAACACTAGATAGGGCTAAGTTCGGCAGTAGTGCTGCCTCTATATTTCACGCACGGTCCCTATTTCAAACAAAATGGCATTTTGTTTGGATTGTATAACTTTCAGTGTCACAATTAGGCATTCCAACGACCTGTCAAACAATAGGTGCCAGTGGGAAATTCTTGTATATTTAAGGGGGTAGCGACATAGTCTTGCAACTTGGACGCTATTTTTATTCGAAGTAGTACTCGCCAAGCCTGCCAATTTATGAAGAAATGTATAGATGGGTTTTTTAAATATTATTTTTATTGTGTTTGACATAAAATATTTAAATGTAATCCATTATTCATGATTTTACGTAAAGTAGATAGAATACACCATATGTCGCCACCCTTAGATATACCAAACATGCCCACTGGTAATTCATTTGTTTGGAATGCCTAATTGTACACTTATACGTTCGATTGTACAACCACTAATTAATATTCTTCTTTTTTATTTACAAACTATGGCCTACTACTTCCCGATGCTTAAAATTCTTCTTTTTCATTCAAAATATATTTTCCATGTAAAACGGTGTCCTGATTGGTAGCGAATGGCGCGAAATTTAAACGTTTATTTTTATTATTAATTTTATGATGCTATTTAACGAATCGTAGACTTTTTGAACGAAGAAAACCATTTATATACTTGATTTTACATAAATATTTAGAAACTTCAAATTGTACAACATTTCTATACTTTTTCAAAAGTGCGTACAACAGTACAACCGCATGCGTTTGTTGATGAGAGATGTAGCTGTTCAGACTACATTTTTTACATCTCGATTTGAAATGAGATGTTCGTTCCATGCCAGAAAGTAAGTGTTCTGTGAAGTCAAGTTTGTCGATTTATCCTTTGTTTATGTTAACATGAATATAAAACTGATTAATAGTGTGTTTAATTTTTGTTTAGATTTCAAATTTAGGATGATTTCAAAGAAGTAGAGAGGGTAGAACGATAAGGTACCGTCTGCGCATCCATCACGAGTGTAGAAATTATGCGTGATTCGGCCTTCCACTCTTACACACGTAAATGACAAGGAGAGGTTGCCCTAAAGCACTGTAAACAAATTCCAGGATCGACTTTATTCAGCGATTATGTTCAGTTCTGTTTTTTGTTTGTGTTTTGGCTGTTGTAAGCTTTTTTGGCGTCAATTCTTTGTTATCTTGCTTATATTTATGATTTTTTATGCTTTTATTCCGATTTAGTATTAAATTATACTTGTTAATTATTTTTCGATGCACTATTTTATAATTGTTGCACAAAATGTTGTTAAACCGTCCCTGAATTTTGTTTACAAAATGTGCAAAACGAAATTGTGCATAGTGTCCAGACTTTTTCATTGTCAGTTATCATTCTACCCCTCTCCACTTCATTGGATGATTTGTAGTCTCAAAAGTCAAATTTAAAAAGTATAAACTTCTAACTTGTCATTGTCATTTTATCACGTAATCAATAGGTCTTTTCCTTTGCATCGAAAGTGTAGCACTGAGCTACGTCACTTCTGAAAATATCGTTCCATCCATACAATTTGTATATATGGAACGATATTTTCAGAATCGGTGTAGCCCAGTGCTACACTTTCGATGCAATAGGTTCTTTCGTTCGTCCCACTGGTGTAGTTGGGTGTAGTAATGAACTACACTAACCCACACCCATACCTTTCGTTTGGTCCGGTGTAAAACCCACTATACCTTCCTGTCGGCGATGTGGTGTACACTGGTGGATATTTTCTCCACCAGCTATTTAGCAGGAGCGAATTACACTCGATGATGTGTATAAAGAATAAGGAGGAAGTAAATTAGGGTAAATAAGGTGGTGTAACTGGTGTAATTTACACTGGTGGACACTACACCAATAGCGAACGAAAGAACCTAATATATACCTTTCAAACCAATATTAGAAATGATTGAAATACTCCTAAATGATTGCAAATTTTAATAATGATGATAGTAAGCAGTATAAACAGTACATCTACATAACCTATAAAAATGTTTTTATTTTTTGACAGTTATAACTCAGTGGTAAACGAGTTTTGATATAACTTATATAATACACATACCTATAGAATTAAGTTATAACGTAGTGGTAATAAATAATATGATACATGCAAATTAAACTTACATAATTAAGTTATAATAACCATATGTTGTGCACATAAAAGCAACAAAAGTATAA